TAATAATATAGTTAATGAGAGTCCCCTGGTGGGCGAGACTCTCTACAAAAAAGAATAGGCCCACTGGCCCTATACAAAATGTGCGACACAGACTGCCCCCTTACCAGTTACAAAAAAGAGGTAAGGGATAATCATATACAAAGTACCTGAAAACGGGGTTATAATAGTCCCCCTACACTGTCCACAGACATTTTACTAACAAAAAGATGCTGCACAGTGTAAGGCCTGTAAAAACGTGTAGCAGGCCAGATCTAATCGTCCTCGTGGGCTTTAGCTCTGTCCTTAGCCAAAAGGTCCGCGAAGGCATTTGACGCCCTCGGTGTATGCTTCCATGAGACGTGCATACCCCTGCAAATATGTTGAATCTCGTCAAAAACAGATAAGAGGTAACAGGGGGGCGACACTTCCCTGGAGGCCCAAGTGATAATATTTTGGGCGTCACCCTCCACAATAAGATGCTGTCCCCAAGAGCTTCAAAACTTTGCAGCCCTTTGAGTAGCGCAAAAGATTCAGCATGTTTTGAATCTTGCACCCCAATGTACTCTGAGTAAGTGAAGAGGGCACTGTGTTGGTGGTCGTGAAATACACCTCCTATCCCGGCATGTCCTTGATTACCTAAGGTGCAGCCATCAAAATTAAGTTTGACTGCTCCTTGGGGGGTTGGTTTCCAAGTGGCCACGATTTTCTTGTTCTTATGGGGCCTGTGAAGTAGGATGTTCCTCCATTGAGGTAGGATGGAGTGTGCTGGTATTCCATTAAAATGATCATTGCTTGTCACCCAAAAAGTTACCAAGTTACCAAGGATGTAACTTTTTGAAAAAGCGATGGAACCAGAGTTACTTGTCCCCTAAAAATTCTGGCATTCCTTTCTTTCCATAAGGTCTAGATAGTTGCTGCCACGGAAGCTTTCCATAGAATTTTTCCTGCTTTCGGCCACTGGGAGTAGGTGTTCAGGGCAATTAGGTCCTTGATCGATTGTGGAATCACCCAGTCCACCCCCAAAGAGTTGTAACACACACCCCCAAAGGTCATGTGCTACCTTTTCATCCTTACAAAGGATGAAAAGGTGAAAATTGGACTCCTCGCTTAAGCACAAGCTACACCTGTTGGGAATGGGGATCCCTTTTCATTGCAGGTGATCAATAGTTAGTGCCTTATGAGAAGCAGCTAACCAATTAAAAGTTTGCACCTTTGGGGGGGCTAAAGAATGCCAAACCTGAGAAAGAATGGAGGTAGGATTGAGAGGGAAAGTAGGAGGAGGGTTGCAATAAGGCCTTGTAAAAGGATGACACCGAAAAATCTCCTGATGGAACTAGGGACCAAACGAGCTTGTCACTTCCCTAGACTGGAGTAAAGGTACCGCACAGCAAAGACGAGAGAGAAAGGAACTGAAATAATTCTTCCTCAGTAAGATTCCTTCTAAAAAGAGGGTTGCCATTGTCTCCTTCCACCATGCGGTCTAAGTTCATCATCAATAGAGGAATCTCTCTTGGATGTTAAAGCATAGAGAGAAGGGAAGTATTCCCTTAGCGGTGCGTGGCCAATTCAGAGGTCAGACCAAAAAAGGACTCTTCTGCCTTCTCTAGGGTGGAACCTGATAAATGTTTTGAACAATGCAAGGGAGGAAAGAAAGGATCTCCACGCCCCTGACGCATTAGTCCATTGTTTCTTCTCAGGAATCCAAATATGACTTGCTGCGGAGCACCCTTGCCCATAGAGATTCAGTTTGGGTGGCTAGACGCCACCACCATTTACCTAGTAGGGTAAGGTTTTGCTTTCTTAACACTCTGATACCCAGCCCTCCCTGTTTTTTGGGTAGACAGACTTTGTCCCAGGAAACCAGGTGGAACTTAGTCTTATCTGCCTGTCCTGACCAGAGGAAGTTCCTCATGAGTGGTCGAGTCGATTAGCCACTGAGGCTGGCATTTGAAACAACGACATGAGATATACCGGCGCAATGGAGAGTGTCGCTTTGATGAGGGTGACTCTCCCTGCCTGAGAGAGAAATCTCCCTTTCCATCCTGCCAATCTTCTATCAACCTTGTCAATGATGTGAGACCAAAGTCTTTTCTTCGGTTTTCCTAGGCCAAGAGGAAGGCCAAGATAGGTTGTTGGGAGGTCTTCAACTTTACATTCCCAAGAAGGAATGAGCTCTCTAACCTGGTTATTAGTTAAAGCTATCCCCATCATCTTAAACTTCTCCATATTTACCTTAAAACCCGCAGCCAACTGGAAACACTTGAGGAACAGTCTCAGGTTATCTACTCCGACTGTGAGGCATCGAGAAAAACCAATGTGTCGTCTGCATATTGCAAATGCAACACAATTGGCCCCCGTCTCGAAGTGCGGAAGCCAATAAGAAGACCAGCTTGGTAAACACAGGCTAGGGATCGGCTGAAACGTCCACCAAAATGACAAAAAGGAAAGGGAAAGGGGATCTCCTTGTCACAGTCCTCTTGAAGACTGGAAGAAACCCTTCGGAGTTCCATTAATGAGGATCGAGAAGAAAGGGCGAGAGTAACAGCCTCTTATCCACAATCTCCATCAATAACTGAAACTCATTCTAAACATCGTCTCATCCAGGAGTGCCCAATTGACGTGGTCATAGTCTTTCTCCCAATAAATCTTGAAGATCAGCCCCGGTCTTTTGGATAAGTGTCTTGAGTGGATACATTCATAAGCAATCAGAGCTCCGTCGAGGATCTGCCAATTCTTGATGAACGCTGATTGCGAGGAAGAGACGACAGTAGGGAAAACCTGCTGCAATCTTGTCGCCAGCACCTTACACAGAATTTTGTAGGAAGAATTGAGTAGGCTAATAGGACGAAAGTCCGTAAGTTCCTCAGCTCCTTCTATTTTGGGTACCAGGGTAATGAAGGTGGCATTAATAGACTTATTCAGTATGACCCGATGGAAGAATTCATTGAAAAAATTAAGGAAATCTGGGCGGAAGGTACTCCAGAAAATTTTGAAGGGGGACCACTGGGAACCCATCGAGACCAGGAGCTTTGTCCTTAGCCAGGTCATCCAGGGCTTTTAAAATTTCATCTTCGGAAAGGCCGCTCAAACCAAGCAGCCTGCTCTGCCGAGAGAGTGAGGAAGTCTAAGTTTGTCATGGCTGGCCGCTGCTTATTAGGGTCAGAATAAAGATTTTGAAAAAAGGCTAGGATAGCAGACTCAACTTCTTCAAGTCGGTCTAGGTACAAGTTGTTGACCTTGATAGTCGAGATAGTGTTTTCCCTCCTACACCAGTTAGCAATTCGATGAAAGAAGCGGGTGTTAAGGTCCCCCACTTTAAGCCAATTGATTCTACAACGTTGGTACCAAAATAGCTCTTCTTTTTTGAGGGTAGAGAGGTAATCTAGCTTAGTTTGAATTCTGAGATCAAGTTCACTGGGAGACAGGGGCCAGGATTCTTCAAGACAATCTAGTTCAAGTAAGGTGTTCAGGAGGTTTGACTTAATATGGGAATAGTTACCAGGGAGAGATTGACTCCAGCTTTTGAGAGAGGCCTTAAGCAGTTGGATTTTAGATTGTAATCTAAAGCCAACCCTGCCATTCACTCTTCCATCGACTCCAACTTTTGAAGATGTGCGCGCCATGTTGGGATAGTGATGCAATACTTAAAAAGGAGACATTTACAGAATTCCAGACCAATTTTCAAGGCAGTGGGAGGTCGTTCCCGAGATAAAAGAACCTCTTTACCCAAGTCCTTTAGCCAGGGAATCATAGCCTCGTGGGTATCACTTAGTAAATGATGAAAGGAAACCACCACCAAGTAGCTAAATCATGAATCTCTTCTATCAAGGTTGCTATATCCTCCATTGAAACACAACTCTCATATTAACCACAAAGGTCCGGTCAAAGCCAAAAGATGACTTTGAAGTCCTATAGTATACGTACTGCAATCTTAAAACATAAGTTGCAAAAGTCCAGCAGCTTAAAGACCTTTAGATCCCTAACATCATCATTCCGGAAGATGCCACCTACAACAGATATGGCCAGGATTCCCAGTTATTCAAACCGAATTATGCACAGTCAATTTGCAGCAGTTGGAGTATCTTTCATCATTTCTCCATGATGAGAAGCAATCATTTAAGGCACCAGTATTTTATGGGAAAAATGTACTATTTCACTTCCCCCCCAAAAAAAATTTGGGAGGCACATGAGCATCAATTGAGCTCATCAAGAAAATTACTTCAGACTTGATGAGCAAATGGGTTGCACAGACATTGGTCACACAGACATTATTAAAACAATAGTCATCTCCTGATAATACAAATATAGGATAAGAAACAAAGAATTGGGCTTGGGTCAAGACGGTAGAGGCTGGGTTTTCATAGCCTAACGTCTCAAGTTCCATTCCTATGTTACCATGTCTTTAAAAATAAAAAATTACTGGATAAGAAACACTGAATGGGTGTTGAAAAGAATAATCAGGAACTGAAAAGGAGAACATCCACAGAGGAGATTGGTATAGTGATGATGTTGAAGATGATAATATTAAACAGGCCTTTGATTAAGAACTGAAATGGATGGCTAATGAGCGGTTCATGAAAACAAGAACTCAATTGATCAGAACTATATAAAGTTATTGGGTCTCCATAGTGCCATAGTGAACAAAAATTATAGTGCCTGGATTATAAAATAAGATTATAGTGTTTGGCTTCTTATGAAACAAATAACAAGACTGACTTATATTTTAATTTGTTTCCGATGCATTTGTTTCTGATGCAAGACTACTATTTTAACAAAGACAAATAATCATTTTCTTAAGGCCATTAGGGTGAAGATAAAATTAGATTAAAAAAAATGTCAAAATTTCAAACATGATAATGCATTCTCATTTTATTGTTGTTTGAGAAAGCTAGCAGTTACAAGAGATTCCAAACCAAAGTAAAATATTTTCAAAGATTAAAAAATAGAAAAACTTAGCAACAATCATAAAACAACAGTGTAAGCACAATTATTAAATTACCCAAAGAAGTAAGAATAATCACCTCAAGTTCTTGTCTCCTTATTTGACCACCCAATCTAACAACTTTCAAAAGAGCTTCTGATCTTCTCGAGAAAAATTCATCATAACTCAATCCGTCTGGGGGTGACAATTGAGCATGCGTAAGAACTACCAATCCCCTCTGCCATATACCTTTCCCAAAACTATCAGTGATAGCTTTGATGACCTGTCTGTCCAAGTTATCAACCCGATACCCATCTAAACGGTCCACATATAGCAGGATATCAATCGTCTTGTTCAAAAGGAACCTGTCAAGCAAGCACCACCTACGTTTCAAGTTCCCCACAAAATAAACTCGTAGTTATCTAATGTCAAACCCATTGGCATAGATATGAATCACCCATATTTTACTTTTGTGAAGCAAGTAATAAATTATTTGAAGATAATTTAACAAACAATTAATAGATGCAGCCCAAAAGAACAAAGGGCGCATTGTATCGTCCCTGCTAACTGTTACAAAAACGATCTAACGAATCAAAATAAAGAAAGACGCAGAGAAGAACTAACTAAATTACCGTTTTATGATTTCAAGGGCGTGTTCATTGACAAACCCACCTTCTACAAGCCCTGGAGTATCTATAATATTTAGTGTGAAACCGGCTCTTGCACGTGAACAAATTATAGGACGCATTGCTTCAGACTGCACAACATACATCAATGAAAAAAAATAAAGAAAAAAAATAATAAGAAGCCCTTCAACATGCTAATCTCTACTTAATCGAACCATTTTCTTTTCTAATTAACACACCTGCTTTCGATGATGGATGTTAGTGATGAACTGTTCCAAGTGAATGTCCATCACCGGAAACTACAGTCCATCTCCAGCATCCAGCCTTCTGATCAATACATCATAAATTACTGGTGCATGATGTACTTCCCATAAATGAAGGCAACTCATCAAGTAATTCCCAGAGAGAATCGAATGCAAATAACAATAGGACAAAGCTATCCAAGATAGCAAATCAATAAAGAAATGGGTCACTAAAATAACAAACCTGGAAAGCACTAACTGCAGCCACCCGCTCTCCCAAGAGAGAGTTCACAGTTGAAGACTTTCCAACGCCCCCCTTTCCCATTACAAGGATGGTCACTGTGCTCACATTCTATGATGGCAAATCACAAAGTCAAGAACTATGTTTTCAAACAAAATTACAAGCAAAAAGCCATTCCAGTCATGCATGACTCCTCAAATCTTGTAAATCCTAACCTGATACAGATAGGGTTAACTTTTAGTTCTCTAGAAGTTTGAAATTAGAGTCTTATTGGTCTTTTTTGTTTGTAGAGATAAAACAGGTATTCGTGCCATTTGATGTTGTAGAGATTTTTGGGCGATTTTTGTCATGGCTAATGTTTGACAAAATGGAGGGCTAAGATTTAATGGCAACCATGTTTCTTTAGAGTCAAATTAGCTAACACAGTTCTTTTCTTCATATAAATGAATGTATTGTGCTTTATGGATATAGAGACGTAGAACTGAGTTGAGGCCTTTGAAAAGTTCTCTTGGGGTGGTTGGACTCCCTTGCAAACCTATAGAGGATCAAATTTCTCAGAATTTTTGGACACCCTTACACACGTTAGAGACCGGCTTTATTCTCTCATCTTTCTTTATCTTCTATTTTCTCTCCATATTCTATCTAGGTATTAGACCAACAAAAAGATCCCTACATCAAGATCTCACAAGAAACCACTCCTGCAACAAATGATATGTTGCAACGATTTGGGAGAATCCAATTCAACAACTCAAGAAGAATTTGAATCAAGCCATGGAGAGTTTGAAAGAGAATAACTAAGTAGCAAACTCCGAGGAGTGATCGACAAACTAAATTAGCCGTTGGAATGATTAGATAATAATCTTTGTGGAAAAGAGGTTGGGCATAATCCTGTCAGACAAGCATCAAATGTCAACTACAAAATCAACCCAAAACCACCACAAATTTCAATGACTATGAAGAAAAATAAACAACAGCTGTTTCACATAAATTACAACCCTAGGAGAAAGAAAAATCAAGAAATGCTTGATATTACAATGTTTTGCTGCAAATTCCAGATTAAGTTTTCTATAGTTGAACAATTTAAGTGGAGAAGATGATGAAAGGTGGGCCCCCATCACAAAAGACTATGGGGGCCTCTAATGGAAGTGGTGAACAAATCATACAAGAGGTCAAGCTTCTCTCAAATTGGGAGAATTATGTAGTTACCACTTATTTTTAGGCTTCTAGAAGTTGGACATTATGGCCCATTGTCATTTTATCTAAAGAGATTTTAGGGATATTTGTGTCTTTTGTTGTTGTGATGATTTTATATATTTGACATGGCTAATATTTGGCAAGATGAACGGCTACATTGTCTTAGTGATTAGGTTTCTAGAGATTCTAGTTATTAGGGATGTTTACTTATAAGATGTGTCGTGCTCTATAAAAACAGAGCAGATGAATTGACTTAAGGTCTCCTAAAAAGACTTTTTGGAGTGGACTCCCTTGCAAAGAAAGGCTTAAATCACTCAAATTTGAGTTAAGACTCCCTTACAAACCTTTGAGAGAGGGTATACTCTCTCTCACTCTCTCTCTCTCTACTACTTACTACGTAGAGACGTACGTACTACTCTCTCTCTCTCTCTCTCTCTCTCTCTCTCTCTCTCTCTCTCTCTCTCTCAGTGGGTGCAACAAATATCACTCAGTGGGCACAACAACTGCAAGAACCCCTTCCCCTTCCTTGCTCCTGTAGTCGAACAAGATCTCTTAGAAAGGGCAGGCAAGGGACAAAGGCTACTATCCCAATAGGTCAGTAGGCAGAATAAGAAGGCTCACTCAAATTCATCAATTTTATTTAGTGGTATTCAATCAATGAAGCTTAGACAGTTGTGTGAATCACTCAGATTATTGTGGTGGTTACGGAACTTCAAGAAGCCCAACACCTCCACATGGTAATTCCTCAATAGCAGCATCAAGGTCTCTCACCCAATTGACTAAGAGCAGCCAATTGGCAGTATTTAATGTAGGAAAAAGAGAGAAAATAGAAAAATTCATCAAAAAATAGAGATTCCACTCCAAATCAAGAAATTTGACCCCCTCTAGGTGTACAAAGGAGAGTCCAACCCAAAAACAATTTTTACCTAAACTCAATTCAACTTCTCTGTACTTAACAAAGCGCACAACAATAATAGCTAACTTGACTCTCAACTTGCCAAACATTAGCCATACCCTTAATCTCAACAACAACAAAAGACACAAATACCCCTAAAATCTCTATAAAATAAAAACCAAGTTGATCCGAATTTCAAACTTCTAAAAACCTAAAAATAAACCATAAGCACATCATAACCCTAATCCATTAAATAGTGGAGCATGATTGAAGAAATTAACAATTCATGACAAAAGTTTGATCCTAGTCCTTCAGGCTTACCTCCTCCTTTAGTTTACCCAATAATTCCAATAATTTGGTTTGCGTAGCAGTAGGAAACTGTTGAATTCCAGACCATTCTCTGATAAGTTGGGCAGCCATAGTGTCCTAAAAGAGAGACTGCATATCAAGTACAATCCCTTGAATACATGAAAAAAAAATACAAGAAAGAGCTAACAAACCCCAGAAAAGTATTGAAATAGAAGTCCTAGAATTTTGTGGAACCAAAGACACTGCATTTCAGTAATATCAGCAACTAAACAAAAAAAACCCTAGAAGTGGTTGGAACCAAAGTAAGTTGAATTCAGCAAAAAGAGAGAGAAAACATGTGGGAGAACAAAGTAAATTCACTTCAGTAACAACAAATAAAAACATAACAAAAATCCCAAACTTAAAGGATAAAGCACATTAGACTCGAGCATATGTAAGAGAGTGCTTCATGCTCTTTTGTAAAGTAAACTCAAGAAACCCCAACTCAAAAAAGTATGAAGCTTTTGAGGAAAATGGACAACCAATTAGGGTTTGGGCATTCACTCACAAAGCCTCATTGACTCATTACTTCCCTCTACACAGAGTGGATATAGTGGGTTTTCTTGATAATAAAGAGGGACTTATAATAGTCCTTAGTGCCCCCTCTTAGTGTATATACTATGCTATATACGATCACAATAAATATTTTGTCATCAGATTTATTGCTGTCCAATCATAGGGTAGATGGTTATGATGAGAAAATATGACACCAGCATAGTTTCAATTCCTTTGCTCACCATTCTCAATTCCTTGAATAGACAGCTTCACTTCCCTTCCTCACCGTCCTCAATTCCTTGAATAGACGGTGACGATCTAATGATTGCATGTTCAGTATGGTTGTACGGATTAATGTGCAGTTTGCATTGATCACTATGTTATAGCTGGCATGTTATTTGGAGTATGTAAAGAGGAAATAAAAGTCAAATAGCTCAAACAATGTAGCATGAAACTTAACACCAATAGATATTAGAAACAATTCTTCATATGGGCAAGAGAAACCACTAAAATATTGTAAAAATTACAAAACCACCACAAACATAATAATTGAAAAAGATTAGGCGGACCAATAGAACTTGCTCATTTGGCTCTACATGTCAAACACCTAATAAGGATGATTATGTGGACCCATGACTCTTTTATCATCTTTTCTCTCCGATTTATGGATGCTAGATATCTCCATACTCGGCTTAAAATATATTTTTTTTCCAAATTGATCTTGGGATGCACCAAAAATGCTTTGAGATGATTCCAGGTCAACATAATGAGGTGCTTTAGCCATGGAACAAATGCACAACTTGGTTTTCTAAACAACATCCAATTCACGTCCTACAGCTAGAAGTATAAGAACATTGTGGCTACCTAACCTATCAAGAATGGAGGAATTCAACAATATGCTATTGCAACTCAAGCCAAATTACTGGAATTATGAGGTAAACTAAAGCAGATAGGCTCAAAGGACATGAAAAACAAATTTCTACCATGAATTGTTAATTTCTTTCCCTCATGCTCCTGTTTCTGATAGATTGGGTTATGATGTTGTTAGAGTTTATTTTTAGGTTTCAAGAAGTTTGAAATTAGGGGCAATTTTATTTTTTCTTTTTTGTAGATATTTTAGGGTTTTCTATGTCGTTGTTGTAGAGAACTTAAAAGGTATTTTTGTCATGGCTAATGTTTAGCAAAAGAGAATCAGCTTAGCTATTCGGTTTTTTTTTTTCTCATAAATAAATATATTGCTCTTTGTAAATACAGAAAATTGAATTGAGTTTAGGAGACAGAGTTGTTGTATTGAGTTTCGGTGAAAAGCATAGTTGTTGAGATCGGGAGTGGGGTTGAGATCAGGAGTTGTGGATTGTCAACGGCTATAAGAACCTTATGGTTGGGAGTGTCATCTGTATAATGCATATATTAGGGATCACGATCCCCAAATATCAGGAATCTTGATCCCAACCTCTTGGGGATCTTGATCTTGACCTTTAGGGATCTCAAACCCATGCTTTTGGCAATCTTGCTCCCAACCTTAAAGAGTATATATAATCTAGGAACCATCCTCTCGGATATTTTCATCTCTCTTGATAAGAGGTAAATTGCAATTTATCTCTAAGAACCTCAAATACAATTCTTCTTCGTTATTTTCCTCATAGTTGTATTTTTTATACTACATGACTTAAGAAACTACACAAGTAAAAAGAAACTTACAACACAACTCTAATAATTTACCTCTTTGTTTTCATGATCTTACATAAATTATTAGAAACTAGAGATTCTGAAATATTGAGTATGGAACATCATTAGTTATTGGTACCAATTTTCTAAAATCCGAATTGGCAAGGCGTACTGGTCACCCAAGAAACCGGTTCGCATCGGCGCATTGCCGATCCGGATCAGTGATCTGACCGATGTTCCAGTGTGAAAATCAACAGATAAAAAAATTTAAAAATAAATATTAATAAAAATACAATGTTAGGGAACCAAGCAATTGGCCGGATCAACCAGTTCTCTAACTAGATCACCTGATACCCAAAGGGAACCCTGCGAGTCAGTTCAAACCGAACCGAGTCCTGGTTCCAACTAAGAACTAGTTCGTCCAAGACTGATTCCTTATCCAAATAACCGATCCAAATAAATAATTCCCAATCTGGATCAACAGGCTTCAAACACTCATTGGTACATGTGATAGAGTAGTAAAGGTTACTAGGTATTGAAAGATAAAATATAAGAGAACTTATTGCATATGAAATATCTTTATTGGGCACAAAACAAAGTTCATAAAGTTCTAGTCATAGAGGAAAAACAAGTAAAATTCATTGTTCTTAAAACCTCTAAAGGACCATTGGGTAGAAGAGCATTTCTATTTCGAAGAAGAAAGGCATTGTGGGAGACTAATTGGGGAATGCCTGGGTTAAATTAATTGACGTTACAAAATTGATTATCACTAGAGTCAAATTCAACTAAAATGATAAATTTGAAGTTAAAATGCAGATGACTCAACACTCATAACTTGCCCAAACACAAAACTGTTTAGGAGTATGAGAAAGATAAAAAGAAACAGACAGTAAACAAAAGGAGAATTGTTTAGTGCGTCCAAGCCCGTACTTGTTACTATGCGGGCGTGGAGATCTACACCATCCACCAAAGAAAGTGCAGATCTACACCCCAAAAGAAAAAATAAAATCAACAGTTCAAATATTTTCTCCAAAAAATATCATTTCTAGCTTTAAAAATTTATTTATTTTTACATATTCATAATCAATATATTAAAGATTATATATTCCCTAAAAATTAGTATTAAATTCTATTTCAAAATAAATTATTAAGGGGCCCGCATTTCTACATGTGAGTGCGTGGACTCATAGAAACTGCATCCTAAACAAAATTCAAAACATTCCTCCTAAGAAACTAGGATGTGATGATTAATTATATCATGACCACATAGAAGACTACCATCATTACTCGTAGCCATCAAATGCAGCAAAAGCCAACAAAAAAGAAAGGGCTCAAGGAAACACAAGTAAAGAGCCTAAAACACATTAAGATACATGAAAAAATAAACATTGCAATACCAAAATCCAGGCGTCTTTCGAAACCAAGGAATTAGAACAAATACAACAGAGCCCCTGTCGAGAAAAGCCAATGCTTGAAATCCTTAAGGCACCATTTGATTTCATAGCCAAAGTGCAACGTGGACCCTCTCTGAAAATTTGTCACAAGCAATTTGACCTCATGAGATGTCTGATTCACAAATCTAAATGGATTCCCAACTGCAATTGGCTCCCAAATTGAATTTTTGCAAAACTACTCTCTCTCACATCACCATTGCAACACCACAACCACAGACCCACTGCCATCGCCTAGCTACCACTACTCCACCACCCACTCTGTCATCACCACTACCACCACCACCTCCAACACCGCTCCAACACTGTCAACTACACCGCTGCCACCACCACCATAGCACTACCATCATCATCATCACTCTACCAGCTCCACCACCATCATACCATCACTATCACCACCACCATCATACCACAAAATAACAAGTTGTAATTCGAATTGTAACAATAAAACATCCATAAACGGTCCCTAAAGGAAAAGGAATGCAAGAAAAATCAAGTATGAGGACATGCACAAACTACAAAGGCACACAATTCACATCATCCTAAACACAAATAGAAGAATCTTGAAAATAGCTAGGACCATGAAACCCACAGAAAGAAACCCATTCATCCAACCATTAAAATAAGAAGCCGTCTGATTCACTTGCATCAACAATAAGCTCAAAGCCCACAAAAACAAATATCCATACCCATGAACCTGAGAAAAAGATAAAGAAAGGAAAGGAAGAAGAAAAAGGTGATAAACAAAATAAATGCCAAAAAACTTGAAACTAGAATAGAAAAGGAAAACAAAATAAAATAAAATAACCTAACATAAACAGATAATGTACATTATATAGACGAAAGGTATTTGGTGAGTCAGCCAATTTGCCTACTTATGTACATCCCCCCTCCAAAATCCATATTAAGGCGGACTGCGGAACCAAAATTTTAGGTCTTTTTCAATCTCAACCACGACAATGATCATGAATCTGGATATTCATTGAAAAATAAGAAGAGTTCTTTTTTTTTCCTTCATCCAGTTTGATTTTTATTTGAGGCACCATTTTTTAAATCCACCTTAGAGATGGACGTTGGATGCATAAGGCCACCACCTAAATTGGTGAGTCGGCTAACTCACCAAAACCGTGTCCTCATATAAAATTCACTACTCTTGAAGACTATAAAATGGCTACAAGCCTGAAACCCTGATAAACTAAGGCACCCAAGATAAACATAGCAACACAGAACCTGAAATCCTACATAAATGTGGAAAATTTTAACAGGGAGAAAGAACCAATAACTAACAAAAACATCATTAGCCCCTGAAAACTAAGAAAGGTCAAACCTTGATTCAAAAATAAAATAATTGAAACCATCAAAGATACCTGCAATATGCCCCAAATCACAAAAATGCCCCAAAAGCCAAAGAAAACCACAGTCAAATCCTAATCAAAATGAACAAGAATCTCAACATGAAAACAAACCCTAGAAGCCTAAATAACCTCTCAGAAAAATTAAAGCTTACCTCGAAAACCACTGCAACAAGAGCGCCAAACCTTAGTTCCTCTAACTCTCTCTCTCTGACTCTCTCTTTTCTCTCACTTGAAAGATGCGAAAGTAACAAAGTTCGATGCTCAAACCGCTCGTGCTCGCAAAAGGTCTGAGGGATGTTTGAAGCGGCGGGTTGTACGAATGCTTTGCCCGTGTGGATAAGGCCATAAGTTTCTTCAGGAAGAAGTTCATATAGAGCCGGGGCTCTAAACAATCAAATTACAGCCCACCTCCAAATTTTCATTAAAAGAGGTTGTTTTGATGCTCAAATATCTTCAAATTGATCATCTCTATATCAAGATACATGGACATGAGAAAAAAAATAGATTTCGGGTTTTGAAAATAGTGCATCTTGTAATACATTTTTTGACCGTCAATCTTCAATATTTTCAAGTTTTTATAAATCTACTCAATCTACATTGTTTTTAAGCTTACAATTTTATAATTAAATATGGAAAATATATTTAAAAAATATCACAAAGATTTTCAGTGTTGAAACATTATTTCGTGGTACTATTTGAAAGTGGGCTCTAATTGATTGTTTATAGCCTCGATTCTATACAAACCGCACCCATTTCGTCACCCTTTGCTAAGTTTTTGGAGATTTGGAACAAAAATTTAAAAGGAGATTTGTTTCACGCGGATTGGACCACATTTCTACAATATAAGCATCCATCTTTAAGATCGATGCAAAAGGTACTCCATCTAAAAACAATTGAAACTATCGGTCCAAATGTTTTCTTCATAAAATCATTATTTTTATTTCTTGAAATTTATTTATATTCATCATCTTCGTGTTAGAGATTACTTGTCCTTAAAAACTGGGTTCGGAAATCCATCTCAAAAATAAAATTTTAAGAGTCCACTCATTTCTACATGGACTCATAAAAACTATCATTTGGAACAAAAAATTAAGGGAAATATTTATATAGAGCCCGACTCTAAACAATCAAATTTGAGCCTATCTCAAAAATCTCACTAAAATCAGTTGTTTTTATGCCCAGATATCATCAAATTCATCATCTCGAAAAGATTTCCAATATTGAAACCATATTTCTCGATACTACTTGAAAGTAGGCTCTAATTTGATTATTTAGAGCCTAGGCTCTATACAAACCACACCCAAAATTTAAATAGATACACTTTTTCTCCCTTGTCACAAAATGTTTCACCATTTTGCAAATATTACATAGAGACCACCCCCACGCCGCTGCTCCTATTTTTTTAAAAAAAAATCACCCACCTATCTGACATTTCCATCGCAAAACAGGTGGGAAATCCCCTAATTGACATTCCTAACCCACCTAAGTTTATTTTCTCTCATCTTATTGATTATTGAAACTACACCTATGTTCTCCCAAGTGTGCTTATTCTTAATTTTATCCCTTCCTGTCTTGCCACTTATTGATTTTTATTTCATCATCTCAACTACACTCATCTTATGGATATGTTGTTTATTGACCATACAATATTATCCCATAAAGCAAAGTTAGTCTCACAATTGTATCATCCAACTAGCCTTCCAACTTTATTAGGGTGCAATTTCATTGGGGTGAAAATGAAAATTAAATTTAAAATCGAAGTTAATAAACTCTTCACATCACATTCTAAAGGGTGCGGTTTGTATAGAGCCTAGGCTCTAAATAATCAAATTAGAGCCAACTTTCAAATATTTGTCGAGAAATGTTGTTTCAACACTATAAATCTTTATAATAGTCTTAAAATATATTTTCATACTTATTTATAAAGTTTGAAGCTTAAAAAATAGTGTAGATCGCAAGATCTATGAAAACTTGGGAATATTGAAGACCTAAAAATAAATTATAAAATATACTATTTCCAAAACTTGAAATCCATTTTTTTCTCATGTCCTCGTATCTTGGTGCTGAGATGATTAATTTGAGGATATTTAAGCATCAAAACAATCTCTTCTAGTAAATTTGTTGAGGTAGGCTCTAATTTGATTATTTATAGCCTCGGTTCTATATAAACTTGTCCTCATTCTAAATTGTCAAAAAGTGCAATAACATTTTCTGATACCCACTCTTATTTTTATTTTGTACGTAAATATCTCCAAATAAATATCCAATCTCATGAGTATGCTCAAAGCTAGGTGGTCCGTGTGGTAGGACATTATAATAGAATGTCTTGAGTTGTATTTGGTAGAAGACCCAATCCCCTCTTAAATATCCAGAAAATTAGGGGTAAATATTTAATAAGATCATAGATCATTTATTTTTGGTACAAGAAAGTCATAGCTGCTTATAGCTATTGGATGTAAAATCAAGTTGTTGAGGGTGTCATTGGCTAAATTTAAAGTCCAAAAGAAAATTTATCAAGCTTCATGATATACCCCAAGCCATCAAATTACACATTCGATGAGAATCTTCTTGTATCATAGATAAATGGTCTTATTCGATCTCAACAGCCTAACCCATGCCAGAAAAGTTAATCCTTCATTAGATTTGTGTAAATTACAGCGTACTGCACATGACCATACGAAAACCATAGCCAGAAGGGTCCTCGTGCATTTGTTTGACAGATGGGTGATGGAGAGTCTGGCCCTAAGCGAACACGGTATAGCTGGATTGATGGGTCCCACTCTCTCCTATCGCTCCCATCACCATCCATCAATTGATTGGATGGTCACAAAGCGGAGATCACAGAAGGCCTTTTTGCGCACTATAAGGAACATCCTCTGTTTTTTTAGGGGTCGCAATGGACCTGACCGGACCCAACACCATTGGTAAAGTTGATTTCGGGTCCAGATATGAGTCTAAATTTTGGACTCAAAATGTCAGGTCTGGATCCAATACTTGGACCCAAATACTATTCGAGTCCTGATCCAGCTGAACCTGACCCAAATAATATGGGTATAGGTTATGTGGGTATTCATAAATGCGGCCAATACTTTTGCTTCTCAGGAATATCCCGTTATTAGTTAAAACAATAAGAAATGTGGGTATACGTGGGTATTTATAAATGTCATGTAATACTCTAAATGTTGCCAAGAATATAAGTATATGATAGTAAAAAAGGAAAAAAGAAAAATTATAGTCGTAGGATGGCAATGGACCCGACCAGACCTAAGAACCAATGGATCTGGATATGAGTCCAATTTTTTTACCCAAAAAGTCAAGTTCGAATCTAAAACCTGAACCGAGTGCAAGTCCCGGTCCGAGTCGGGGTCCGGGTCCGGGTCCGGGTCCGGGTCTTGCCCGACTCGTAGCCACCCCTAGATTTATCGCACACTTGAAGATCGAGACAAGTGCTGGCCCTGCTGCCACGGTTGCGGTTGCGGTTGCGGTTGCGGTTGCGCTTGGTTGGGGCCGCCTCTTTTGAAGAGAGAGAGAGATTGGCGCACGCCTCTTTTGAAGAGAGAGAGAGAGAGCTTGGCGCACGCCTCTTTTTGAAGTTGAGATGTGGCAGCAGCCTTAAGTAGTGCCCGCCGCGATTTAGAGAGAGCAGGGGGCGCCTCATTACTATTTTTAGAGAGAGAGAGAGAGAGAGAGAGAGAGAGATGGGTCTTCCTTCCGATATGAGAGACGCTTGGAGAAGGCGAAGAGAGTCATTTGTGATCGCTTCTCCTCAGGAGCCATCCACTCTCACATTAGCAGAGCAGAGAGCCTTGAATTCGAAGCGATGCACAGAAGGTGAACCCTCCACTCCTGCTCTTTCAATCCCTGCTCTCTCTTAAATCAATTCATCTTTTATTTCTCTCTCCGGAACACTTGATCAAAATGACCATTTCATTTTTCCCTTTCTGTTGTTTTTTAATTTATGGGATTTTTTTTTCGATTTTCAGAAGGGGTTCGTGCTGGGATCAAGGCAGCTTCCATTGCTTGTGTAGCAAGTGCAGTTCCAACTGTATGTTACTCTCTCATATCTTATTTTCTTCTTATTACCTATGATGTGGGTTTTCTTCCTGGTATGAGATTATTTTTGCTTTAAACCTTTTAGGGGTAATGATGCCGAGTAATTTGTGAATTTTGAGCTCTTTAATAAACAATGGGAATCCTCACCATGCTCATTCTCATGCTCTATATCGCTAACAAAATGGCTTGAATGTTTCTCGCTGCTTAATAATTTGTCTCTGTAATTGAACTTGTTATTTGTTTCAATCGTGTAAATTTCGAGTTAATGCTATACATATCGTAGATGAAACAAAGGGGAAAAGCAGGAGTTGGGAATGTTATGTACTATCTAGCTTGGTTTTAATTGTCAACAAGGAAAAAGTAAGATGGTTCTTTGTCGAGAAGATCAAATACTCATCCATACCCTTTCATTTACTGCAAATATTTGACAAGACTTATCCTTTTTTCGCTTTTCATTTCATAGTGACTGTGATATTGATTTTCCCACATGGTTATTCATTTTTCTGTTCAGTTATGGGCTTTTTAATTGTAAAAATCAGTTTTTCATTACTTAACAAAAAAAGGTAAGAGAATATTGATGTTTCAAACAAGGTTTAAAGACTTGAATACTTGGGCTGCGTAATTTAAAAGCCTGAGGTAATCCCAAATTGGGTCGTAATATTTTCCCATTGATGTTTTCTGAACTTGCCAGAAAATAATCTTTTCGCTTCTGTTTAAAGACTTGGTCATTCGACTTTTCTTGTGATCAAGCCAATTTCCCTATGAGTCCATTTTTTTTTAGAATTAGTTTATAGGGAACGTGTATTCCTCTACATTAATTATTATTTTTTGGTATTTGTTTTGGATATCGACAGTTGATTGGTGTACGCGTTATTCCTTGGGCAAAGGCTAATCTCAACTATACAGCACAAGCACTAATCATATCAGCAGGTATTTTAAAAATGTGTGTTGATTAATCTGTGTGATTTGTTCCTCTATTGATTACCGCAGTTTATGCGTCTTTTCTCCTTGCTCTGGTTTTTATATCTTTCCTGCTTGATAGCAAATCTGCTAGAATATCGAACCATTGTCCAATGCAATAGTTGGTAACAAGGACTCAGGTTGAGAATTGCCATGATCCCAAACCCATATCAGGTTCGACAGACTTGTCCAAGTCTATCAAGACTCGGCAGTGTCCAAGCCAAAAATAAATAAAAAAATAAAAACTAAAAAACATTAAATGATTATTTGGTCGGTTCCTGTATGTTTGGTTCAAGTCTTAGTAGGGCGCCAAGCATGAATGGCTCGGACTAGTCCACCTGATCTTGCTCGAGTTTTCAAATAATGGTCTAGAAAGCATTCATTTTGTTAAGGGAAGTTTCCATGGTAACATGGTTTGTATTTGAGTATAGAAACTTTGCTTTTGTATTGGTTTAACGTGTTTTTGGCAGAAGTGGCTTTTTGTTAGCACTTCATATATATGATTTGTATCTTTTATATCCCATCAAATAAGTGGGGGTTGCATGAATATATTTTGTTGAGCATGTTTTGTTAGTTTGGTTCTTATCTAGATCAAACCTGGAAACGCCTAGTGTTTACTTCACTTGAGTTCTGCTATGTTGTCAAGCCGAGTTTGATCATTGTTTTGCATAATGTTGTTAGATTTGCTTTTGAGTCCTCTTTGTATTTGCCAGGGGAAGAGCATTGCTTTGGCTCTTTGGACAATTGAGGAAAGGCTTCTGTTTTTCACTTTCTAAGAATTAAAAAAACTATGATTAAGTTCGTATTCTTCTAAGAATTCTATGTTATTTCTGAAATATTGGCTATATTTTGAGATAATTTTAAAATATTACCAATATTTCCACAAAATTTTGGAAATATCGGGTGGTGTTCACTTTCTTTGGTTTCTAGACAAAGACTTTGGCCGCTTCGACCAAAGTTAAAGCAATCTTACAACCATGGTTTTGCATATTAGGTATCAAGGTTTTTGGGTTACCAAGAGAGTAAAGGCTTGAGTCTGATATTGTCAAAGATGTTATGTTTCTTACTCCTGTTCCTTAATGCTATCACTGCAGTCGTAAGTAGCTTCAAATGTGCAACGCAAAGCATCTAATAAGTGAAGAACCTTGGTAGTGTTCAAACCCCTGGAGTTCTTCCCTGAGATATGCGTAGTTGGCCTCTGTGAAAGAGCGATTGCAGTTTGTACTTGTTGGTACTTCCTCCATTAGAAAAAAATGTACTTATTGGTATGCTAGTTTAGTTTGATTGTCTATTCCAAGTCTCCAACCATCCATGGACCGTTGGTAAAGTTGAGAATATATTGAAGTGGAAGTATCACGCTATTTGGTTGGTTTGTTAAGTAGGCTGCTAATATCTTTTTTTGACTACATCTGCCTGATAAATATCCAAGTAAAGGTACTCCCATAATATATCATAATCATGATTCTTTTGAGGTTTTTGTCTGTTAGAGAGAGCCAATGAATTTTTTAGTGGAAGAATAATGGTTGTGAGTGAGGCCTCATTTGGGCATACTTTTCTTCAGCAACACCACTGTTTTTTTCTTGTACCCATTTAAGATTCGCCGGCGTCGCAGTGTCGTTCGTCATAATCTACGGGGAAAGACTATATTACTTGTAACCACCCCCCCCCCCCCTGTTTCCCAAAACACAGCTTAGACTCTCGTAAAACTACAGTACACAAAAACATGCTTGTCCTCCATTCCTCCAGAGTTGGACTTCTTTGGTGTGACTATGATTGCTTAAGACTGCAGTTATTTAGGATTGCCTATATAGTTAGGCAGGGTTATTTGTTAAATTTGGCTCTTTTGGAGAAAATGTCAGCTTTTTGTTAAATATGGCTATTAAGGGGTCCAAATGAGGCCTGAATGCCTGAAGATAAGAATAATTCATGGGCACTTGTGAGAGGGGAGTTTTAGTGTCCAGGGGTTGAATACCTCTCAAGCATGTGAAGTCCCTCATTAGAGGGTCAAGGATACGGTCTGTGCCTGAAAGGGGTCTTAAGCATGAATTTGGTGTTGGTTCCTTTAGTGACATGTTTCTGTTTAGCATCATACGGTTATATAGCGGTGACTTTTGAGGAGTGGAGAAGGTGCAATTGGGATAAAAGGGAATCCACTATGTTGGCACAAAGTTCCCCACGCATGTTTCAGATGAGACATTAGTGAACTGCACTTGAGTTTTCTTGTAGGTTGTTTAAAGGAAGCCAATAAGATGATTTATTTAATGCAATGAGGTCCTGCAGATTGGTTTGGCTATGAAAGTCTTTCCTGTTATTGTAACTTCCACATGTGAGCTACATCCATTACATCCTCATTCAACAAAGTCAGTTAACGAAAAGGTATTTATGATCTAATTGATCATAGGATTCATTTATATATAGGTATATCTTGATTTAACAATGATCTAAAAGTATTGATTGCAGAAAAAATAATATTCTAACTGGTGATGCATATAGTGTGTGCACGACATTCTATTTACATGCTTATTGTCACTTGTGTTGTCTTCTTCTTTTTATTACATTGCAAAATCGAGAATGTCACATTTATCTGTGTGTTGCCATAGTTCCATTTTCTTGTAGTATGGTTAGTAACCTCTTGGATAACAGACTTTGAAGGTGGATTTTCCTTTCCTTTTATTTATTTTTTATTATTATTTGGATAGGTAAACAGGTTTTGAACCTACAAACTCAAGATTGTGCAGTAGCTACCCATTTAACCTATAGCCTTGTAACCATGGAATAGGGTTGTCATTGATATCCAGAAAGAATCCATGTGCTTTTTTAGTTTTTACTGTGAATTGAACTCATTAGGTGACATGACCCATGGCATTTCACCATCGGTTTTTGCCACAACCATAGCGATTTTCTTTGCCCCTCCCTGGGTGATTCCATCCTCATAATGATAACGAGCATCCAAGAATTGCTGGATTAGTACTTACACATTTTTAAAATGTTTTTTTTAGAAGACTAGTTTGAGTGTTTGCATCACTTCTTCGTGATGTTGTAAACTTTAAACCGATATTTTGAAACTCGGGTCAAGCCTCAGACTTGGATCATGCTCGAGCCTAGTAACTTAGACGCATTCGAGTGGACGTGGCCAAGTCCTTTGAAAGCCCAAAATACGCTAAAAGATATTTAAAAAAAAAAAAAAGATTAAAAAAAAAGAGTTAAAAAATAATTAAAAATCAGCAAAAGTAATAAGCAATATAAATCAGGAAAAGTCTAGGTAAGATGAAAAAGTATATAAAGTGTGGATTATTGAAAATTTTGTTTTTTACCTTGAAATATTTAAGGAAAAAAAAAACTTGGATCACATAATAAGAAAGTTCTCAAATTATCATAAAAAGCATAAAAATCATATAAAAACTTGTTTTATAGATCATGTATTAGTGATTTCTTTAACAAAACTAATGATTTTTTAAGAATCTATAGCAAGAGTTAGTTGGGCACTGGAACTCACCGCGGTTATAGGCCGAGGTTGAGTTACCTGTCCGAGTCAACTCGGCTGAGTCCCTAAACACTTTGTGAACCTACTTTGTAGCATTCTCATATGGTTGCACTTGTACCATGTTGTATTGGAGTGATAATTGTTCTCGTCGAATTTTTATGGAATTGTTCTCCAGCCCCCATGATTTCCCTAAGCAATTTTGTCTTCCTTCCTAGGAGTTCTTCCTCACCACCCCGAGTTACATAAATTGACTATATGAGCATTTTCCTAAGCCCTAAAGTTTTTCACTGCATTCCTCTGCTTACTCAACTTCTGCATGAGTTGGGTGGAGCCAATGGAAATATTTCATAGTTGTTGGAACTGGGATTTGGACGGGGAACGCAGGATTGTGACAAGCATGATACTTTTGGTGGTAGGGATCGCAGCCCATGCTTCCTAAAATCTAGGGTTTTCGATCCCAATATGTAGGGGAGCTTGATCTGAACTTATTTGGATGATTAATTATACAAGACCAAGCTCCACTTGGTTAACAAATAGGTCCGCGAAGCACTTACTCTTTTGTGCTGTACATCGATGATTTATTGAGTGGAAGGCCTCCTTGAGTTGTTTAGACATTGATGAAGTCTCGTTACAGAAAGCATCAATAGGTTGCTGGCCATGAGTTACAGGTCAGTCGGTTTTACAGGTTAGACTAGTGGGATTTGTTGGTTGTACATCAGATCCTGTAATTAAACTAGGTTGTTGGCATTGGTGGCTACTTATAGGTCCTCCTACTGGTATACCAGCCGGTTGTGGGTGTTGCTCTTTGCTTATGGACTTCTCCACCTCGTGTGCATTTGGGATTGTCACATATGGTTGTTTGAATGTTACTGATGGGTCGCTTGTGGGTGGCATTCAAGAATGATATGAAAACCTAGAATATGTTTTTGAGATACTCAATTTGACGAAACATTGGGTTGCCATGTGACCATATTCTATGGTAAAGTTTGGGTTCCAAAAGGGTGGTTTATTAGCCACACGGTTTCGCCGTGTGATTGCAGGCTATGGTTTATGCAGCTTAAGGGATTCGGTCAATCCATGAAGTAAGGGCAATGATGAACCACCAAGACTCATCTAGCATTGGAGACTTTTAAAATGGAGTGATCTAGTGTGCATACTTGCTATATAAGGTAAAGGCAAAGTCATAAAATCAGGACTTGGCTCAAAACTTGGCCTTACCCCTGCTCGAGTTGGCTGTCTGAATCTGGAGTCCCTGTTCATGGTAAACATCTAACCAAGTCAATTTTAGAAGTAAAAAGCACGATAACTTGCCAAAGTGTGTGGGTAATGCCCATTAAACCTATTCATTTTTCTACCTTCTCAGTTTTTTTTTTTTCGTCCTTCGGAATACATTCTTGGTAAGTATTGTCCTCTTTTGATTTGCAGCTTCTATTGCGGCGTATTTCATTACTGCTGATAAGACCATATTGGAGTGTGCAAGGAGAAACAGCATCGCCAAATATGATAGATCCACTTAAATGATTATTTCGGCCCATACTGTAATGTTGAGATTGTGCAAAAGCTTGGATCAATTCCCTTATGTTATTGTTTTTTCTCATCAATTTTGTACATGGATAGCTGTTACCCATTGCCGAATAAATCCCAAAGGTTGCTTTCTCGCTCCTGGTAAATCAGCAGGTTAAACTGTTTTAAGGACCCCTACGTGAATTTCGTATAATTGAGCAAAAATTTAAATCACACACCGAGGACTATGGGATGGATACACGCTCTATTTTTTAAAAGACCATTTACTTTTGATACAACGTAGTTACAGTTACTCCTGCTTGTTAGATTTCAAATTAGGTGATTGTGAGAATATCGATGACCAGAATCGGAGTCCGAAAAAAATTATCAAACATCATGATACACAATCCAATTTGACATCTAATTGTTATGAGTAATTGTGACCTCTTTGTAATAGTACAAGCCCATTAAAAAGTGCACCTCTTTGCAACAATAATTATTAGTTCAGAATATTGGGGGGCATGATAGTCATTTTTGGAGAAGTCACTGTACCATATCAGTGGTCCATGGCAATGTTACAACTTGGGGCACATCCAGCATCTTCTCCCAGGTAAAAACTGATCATTATTTACGATGTAAGCCCCAGTAATCTCCACCATCCGTCGTTGGGAATGGGCGGTGGATGTCCACATGCCATTCAACACTGGTGTAGGGATGCTTTGCTTTTTCTATTTATAATTGGTCGTCATGCAACAAGTCGTTTTGAGGTTGAGACGTTCGGATTCTGTCTTTACCATAGAAGATTTAATGCATTTAGAAAATGAAAGGATTGTTTGAAGGGAAGTTTTTATGAGATTGAGAGTTTTTGGACGTGGAAGACCCTTCTAATTGATCGTAATCTCAACCTTGAGATATATGGAGATTAAAAAAAAAAAAGAATTTTAAGTTTTAAAAATGGTGTATCTTGTAACAAGTTGATATTTTGTAGATCTGATCGATTTGTAATGTTTTTGGAATTTGAGATTTTATAATGAGCAATGATCAAATGCAACGGTTGTATCATAGAATAATGCAACGACACTTCTAGAAAACTATATTTGTGGTATTTTTATGACTTCAAAGTTTGTACACGCACTCTTTTCATCTCAATAATCAATCTCAAAAAAAATAAAAAAATTCAATTCGAGTCCTAGATATGGTCAAAATGAGTCTTTTCTATAAATGAATTTAGACCATTCATTTTGTGAATTGCAAGATTTTAGCCTTTATAAACTCAAAATCATTTTTTTATTTTTTAATATTATTCATCTAATAATAATAAAGCTATCCAAAAAAATTTGAAATGAAAAAAAATTCTTTTGAGGTCTAGATCTAAGCTTCTCACCAAAATGAATTGACATATGTTAATTGAGTTAAAAAAATACTTTCTAAGTTGTGTTTTGAATTTTATCCTTTTTGTCGTTATCATTAAAATAAAAAAACTGCATATTTTAAAATTTATATCAAACAAATGACCATGAAGATGGATTTTTAAGGTTGTTGCATCATATTATAATACAACTGTTGCATGAATTCATTGCCTATAATGAGTGTGGTTGAACACATGTTTTAAGATATAATAAGGTTTTTTTACATCAGAACCATATATTTCCTCTAAAATTTAGATGTACACCTTCCTTGTATAGTATGAGGTGGGCACCTTATGCAAATCTCATCTTTGTTTAAATCAATGTTTCAAACCAAAGTCCAATGAGGTATCAATCCAAACCCAACCAAATCCTTTTTAAGACCCAAATCACTCATGTTCCTATGGACTCCCCAATTCTATCATGGATGGAAGTAGGTGATTTTGTGAGGGAATTGAGTGATCCTGCCAGCCTGAGCCGCTTAGTTCTGATACATTATATATTTTTTGTTATTTTTTTTATAGTTTATTATTGTTATTATGTCTTATTTTATTTTCAATTGTTTGGAATTTTTAATGGACCAAGTCTCAAGCAAGAGAATCGGTCCGATTTGGGCATTCCAACCAATTATCCACGTCGCCGATTCCCCCGGTACATACGGGTTTCTAAACACTGGTTTTGATATTTGGGGACAAGGTAGGAGAATTCAGAATTAAGCAAGCTCAATCACATAGATGTTTTATATTTAATAATCTCCGAGTAAACGTATTTGAAAAATTATAAAAAGCCTCCAATTTCTAGACCCATTTTCCTACATATTTTAGTAAACGATTAGGTGGTTTATGGGTCTGAAATATTCATTTGTACCTGAGGGACAAACATCTAGTTAGATGGCTTAGATTTCATGACCCATACTCTCAACCTGTGTTCGAAAATCGAACCGGCTTCAGAAATTAGCCAAGGGCAAGTTTTGAGTAACCGGTAAACTGGTCGGTTCAACCTTTATAATCGGGAAAGTCCTGAGCAGTAAAAAAGTGTTAAAAATAAAAAATTACAAAAAAAAATCTAAAAAACATATTTTGAAGCATGATTAAACAAAACACATCCAAATGAAGTTAAAAATTAGTGGATAAAATGGATTTTGAATAATCAATTTGTGCTCAAAAATATTTTTGAATTCTTTAAAAAGATGAAAAATATAAAAATAAGTATTTATAGCCAAAACACTTTCTAATATTTGTCAAAATAATAAAAAATTTAAAAATATATTACAAATAAATCCCTTATTATTTTAGAATTATATATATAAATATATATAATACCCGACCGAAACATCAAAACTGACCAAATCAGAACCGGCCAATACCAAGGTCCATTTCGAGTTGAACCGGCCGATAATGTGAACACTCCTCTCAACTCACAAAACAAATTTGATTTGGAGGGTGTACTTTTTCACATTTGGCTCTTGGGGTTATGCAATTGATATTACAAAGAACCAAAGATGAACATAGAAGGTTTGAGGTTCATAAATAATCCCATAAATAGGAAGTTTGCTCATGGGCCCAAATGTACATTTGGCACCCGCCGGACCATATTATCTTGAGACGAGCTTGATTGGCGGCTAATATCTTGATCGGTAAAAGAGGTCACTTCCTGAATTTTAAAGCCGCCCTCATTAATATATTGGCTTCGGTGGACCTGGTGGCTACCAACCATTAATGGTCTCTCTCTCTCTCTCTAAATAGTTAACACTTACAACAATATTATTCAATTCATTGCATACAAAAATAATTTAGAAGTGCAAGTTTATAACTTTTAAAAAGGGTATGGTTTATATAAAGCCAAGGCTCTAAAACAATCAAATTAGCGCTTACCTTCAAATAGTATCGAGAAATGTAGTTGTAATATTGAAAATCTTTGTGATAGTTTTAAAATATTTTTATATTTATTTTAAAGTTTAAAAAATAGTGTAGATTGACATATCTATGAAATCTTTAAAATCTTGAAAATTGACGGGTTAAAAATGTATTGCAAAATACACTATTTCTAAAATTTATAATCCATTTTTTTCTCATGTCCATGTATCTTGATGTCGAGATGATCAATTTGAAGATATTTGAGCATCAAAACAACCTCTTAAATTTTTAGGTAGACTCAAATTTGATTGTTTAGAGCCAATAAACTTTTCTCTTTCAAAAATCCTGCCAAGGCTTAAATACTCGACGAGGACAAATAGACAAATAGATGATTGGAAGCTTCCTATTAAGGGGAAATTATGAAAATACAATAAGAGATGAACAATTTACCTATTCAACATTTTACCCCATTTCTTCCAAAATTAAATAGTCAGAACTCGCTTATTATTTTTTACCCATTTATAATATTTTAACTCAGGGTCATGTATCTTTCAATGAGTATTTTGAAATTAAATAAAAAAATGTGTTGAATACTAAATAGTTTGTCTCTCATAAATAAATTTTCCTGCCACCAATCACCCTCTACTTCAAATATACAAAAATGTGAATAACAAGTTACCTTTTACAGTACACAAGGTGTTAAAAAAACTCCTTCCTTCGCAAGGGAGTCTGATTTTAGGTTATTATATATATATATATATATAGATATATTTTTTTTTACACATACATATTGATGTTGAGATTATTACTCAGAGCATGTTCCAACATCAAAACAACCCCACTTTTTTTTTTTTTTTTATCATTAACACCAAAACAACCATTTTTTAAGATTTCTTGAGGCATGCCTCACTTTTGTAGTAAAAGGTTGATCCATTGTATAAATTTTTTTCTATTTCTCATTCTTAGATAGCCTTCTATTCTATACTTGTCAATGTATGAAGCATAAACAATCTCTCTCGGGAAAAGGGCTGACGGTCGTGGTTATAGCATCTCCACACCCTAGTCACCATTTTGTGGTTTTCATTATAAAAAAACTAAGTCCTAAACTATTTGAAAAAATGAGTAAGGGCCTAGTCTTCCCACTAAATTATCAAAATAAAAAAGAAAAGGATAGTCTCCTCTATCTGACTTCAACGCTGCTTTCCAACCGTTCCCAACTCTCTTATGTAGAGAAAACCTCAAATCGGACTAGTCAGTGTCTTCAATGCTCCAGCAATGGAGTGCTTTATCCATTTTAAAATTGAACCACCAAATGAGTTATGAGTTAGGTGCCAAATGGTGAATTAATATGCTATGTAGAGGAAAGCAATGAAACTTGCAAGTTATATACAATATGCAAGTTGTATTATTTTAATTGGTGTGATTTGTATAAGGTTAAAACCTTAAACAATCAAATTAAGGCACATTTTTAAATTTTGTTATAAATATAATTTTGGTGTTAAAAATTCTGGCTTGAGAATCTATTTTATCTCTAATTATAAAATTTTAAACTAAAAACATGATTCAAATCATGTAGATTATAAACACTTGAAAATCTTGAAAATGAAAAATCTAGATAATGTGTTGCAAGATACAGTATTTTTAGAATTTTAAATCTTTTTTTCTTTTCGTAATCATACATCTCAATGTCAAGATGATCAATTAGAGTGGTTTCCAACATCAAAACAACCTTTGTCACTTTTATTCTGTATATTAAAGTTTGCAACCTTACATAAACTTTTTCTTATTTTAATAGGACACAAGGTCAGCCCACTACCATACATTTGCAAAAAAATGCGAAGGGACTTTTCTGAAAAATAGAGCGTCATGGTTGAGTAGATACAATATGCGCCTGTTGGATCACACTGTGTGTATACTCCCACAATCGAAAGATCTACTTGGGAGTATTTTTTCAGCTTAAATTTTTTGGAAACAACCTAAAATTCACTAGATGATTATTTCCAAAACAAAAATTTTAAATTTTGAGTTTTAGACACTTACATATCTCCCTTAAAAACTGACAGTCATTGTTCAATCTCCAGACATTATTATTTTGTAGTACATCAAGTGTTCAATTTCAACCTTTTTTTTTTTTTTTACAGAGGTTAGTTATGGGTTGAAGAGATTGCGCCCCTAAAATTTAGGGTCTTAAACGTTACTCCTATATTGAGTTTTGCCCAAGGGAGTAAATGAACACTGTACTCCTACATAGTATAAAATCTTTTTGGCGTCAATTGCTTTTTTAGACTTCACACACTCCGTTACCTTAAATATTCATTAGTGAAGAGTTTATTCAAGTCCTAAGCTTTATGAAAGCCTTGTACTAAACCTCCATCTAAAAATGCAGTTTCAGTGTTGAAAACATTCGGATTATTATCGTGAACAATAATTATGTATTAGAAATAGGATTTTTCTAAGGCCTATAAATAATAGCTTATCGTGTGACATATTTTTTAGACCGTCTATTTTTAAGTGCACAAGATTTCCCAAAATTTGCATTACCTTTGAAGCTTCAAATCTTACAATGAGAAGCAATTAAATTCAAAACCCTTGCAATGGTTTTATATGGCATAACTACAACTTCTTGTGGAGTTTAAGGTGTGCATTTTCTTTTTATCGTGAAATACAGGTGTTTCAAATGTTGTAGGATTGAATCATCTATTCAAATCGAGAATCGGTCAGGACTGACTCATTTTATAGTCATAATAGGGAATCGGTATGATCCCTATAAACTTATTCAGTTCTGTCGTAAAACAGGGCAACTATGTCAAAGAATTGGGTGATCAATATTGCCGAATCGCCTAGATTCCACCTAATTTTACTTTTATTATTTTTAACTTTTCTTGTTATTTTAAAATTAAAATATTTGATTTTTGGGACCGGTAGAGATGGAGATTTAATAAGGATCGCGTGACATCTACGCTATTAGGTAGCTTCATAAATGATGTCATTTATTATCTTGAATGATAGCTTGAGAGATTTGTTCTACATCTTGGATGGAGAAGGTGCTTTAACTTACAATTTTAAGGTCATTCCAAGGCAAATTTTTTTCTTTTAATCTTTTATTTTTTCTTGAATTTATGGATGCTTTAAGAAGGGTGAGGAGCTTAAGCTTTTCCTTGACTCTTCCCAAGCTCGGGTATAGACTTTGTGTTGCATTAAGCATGTAGCCAGCATACAACTTTGTCATATCTTATCATAAATCATAACTAGAGAACAATGGAGGAATAAGATTCATATAGCTTACCCTAATTAATTTGAATAAGGCTTGGATGATGATGATTTGATTTTTGAAACCAATCCTCATACTGGACAATCGATCCGATTTGTTGATCGCCTTGCTAATCCGTACCAAAATTTTGAAATATCGGTGCACCCCCGTGATCCAGTATATGAAATACAAAAAAACCCAAGCCTCATGCTATGGTACCATTAATTATTGAGATTGTCTAGAAATACTATTTATCTTTTGTACATAGAGGGCGCAATCATTCCCACTCATTAGATATCAAATTGGATGACTTGAAGTGAGTCACGAAGTCTAAAATTTTTTTTTTAAAACTTTGTATCTATTCAATGACACTCTTACAACGATCCATTTTGAAATTTAAGGAACAATAATGATTGTAATCTCTATGTACAAAAGATAAAGGGTGTGGTTTGTATAGAGCTAATGCTCTAAACAATCAACGTAAAACACCAATCAACGTAAAACACACCTTCAACTAATGTCGAGAAATGTGGTTTCAATACTGAAAATAGCTTTAAAATGTATTTTCATCTTTAATTATACAAATTTAAAGCTTAAAAAATAGTGTAGATCGAGTATATGAAAACTTCAAAATCTTGAAAATTGATGGTCAAAAAATGCATTATAAGATGCACTACTTAAAAAACTTGTAATCCATTTTTTTCTCATGTCCATGCATCTTGATATTAACAAGTTGAGGATATTAAGAAATCAAAACCACCTCTTCTAACGAAATTTTTGAAGTGGGCTCTAATTTGATTGTTTAGAGCCTAGGCTCTATATAAACTTTTTTCAAAGATAAATAGTATATTTGTAGATAATCCCTTAATTATAGACATTATTGGATGAATTCTTCCTTCGACACCGTTTCTACGAGTCCATATAGAAATGAGTCGCCTCTTAAAAATCTATTTTTGAGATGGATTTTTGGGCCTAATTTTTAAGGATATGTAATAGATCATGAATATGAAAAAATAAATAAATATTGAAAATTTTAAATTTTTTTTTATCAAAAACAAATTTGGACCACTAGTTCGAATTATTTTTTAGATGGACCACCTATTTGCATCCATCTTTTCGGATAGATGCTTTGTATCTCGGGGACTGAGTGCTCTTTTCATGAAACAATTTTTTTTTTTTCCTTTGGGTGTGGTTTCTATAAAGTGGCAACCTTGAACAATCTAATTAAGTAGCACCTCCAAATTTTACCATAACATGTAATTTTGGTGAAATTTTTTTTTAAGATTTTTTCAAAATATATTTTCATATATAATTATAAAATTTTAAACTCCATAAATACTTAAAATTAAGTAGATTTATAAACATATGAAAATATTGAAAATAGACTTTCTAGATAGTGTATTGTAAGATACAATATTTCTAAGAATAAAAATCTTTTCTCTTTCATATCATATATCTCGACAAATACATCTCGTTATCGAGATGATCAATTAGAGGTTTGTTCAACATTTAACTTTTTCCGATAGATTTTTGAAGTGCACTTGGTGTTCTAAAGGTTGCAACCTTATTATATACACTTTTTTCTTTTCTTTTATCAGAGTCAATTTACTATTTTTGCTTTCTGCGGGGCCCCAAGATTTGAAATTCACAGTTGAATTTTTTTGGGTGTTATTTGCAAACTTTCTTAGCCGTCATCTTCCCCTTCGTCGTCATTGCAAGTAGTCGTCAGTCTTCATTGATCATTCACTTGCTTTCATGAAACCCTAGATTTCTTAAAACTAAGATTAAGAGTTTAAAATATTAGGTTTTCTGATTTCCTACCTGCAAATGGGCACTTAAACTTGGACTCATTCTCATCTTTATTGTCTTTCTGTGTAATTTCATTCTAACTTCATAACCATCTCTCTCTCTCGCTGCATTTCTTTACAGGAAATGAATTTTTATGTTTCCTGCAACTTCGACTGCTCTTTCTCTCTCCTCTCTCTCCAGGAAATGAAGTTTTAGGTTTCCTGTAACTTGAATTGCTCTCTCTCTCTCTCTCTCTCCAGGAAATGAAGTTTTAGGTTTCCTGTAACTTGAATTGCTCTCTCTCTCTCTCTATATAAATATCTGTCGCTCTTCTCCCAGTGAAACTGTTGGTTTCTCTATGAAATCCAGCTTTTTATGTACTTTTTGTAGTGTTTGAGCTCCTGAAGCAGAAGCCTCTGTTATTTAAGCTCTGGTTCTTCTGGGGCGTATTTTTGTAGGCAAATAACGAGAGGCTGTGATTGTGGTATTTGACATGAGGAGCAAGAAGGACCTGAAGCAGCTCAAGCTTGCACTTCCCCCTCAGGAAGCCCCGATCACTGATTTCTTGTAAGTTTGTTTCTTTGAGATCTCCTCCTTTTTCTTGTAAAATGGTAAATTGAGATTGGGTTTTGACATTTGCTGGGTTTTTGCAATACTGAAGATCCACATCTTCTTCCATGAAATGAGAGAATACATTGGTTTTCCTTTTCATTTATTTCTTTAAGTGTATTATAGACTTGGCAATAGTTTGGAGGCTTACTTTTGAATCTTTGGCCTATGAAGTCCGTTGATCTTTAATTGAGTGCTTGAACTGAAAGTGACAAAATTGGATATAATGCAGTTCGTATTCCTGATTTTCGAGAGCGTCCATGTACTTAGAAGTTATATTCTTCTAATGTTGGGATGGTTGCTAAAAATATAGGTTAAATGAGCTCCTTCATGGACTCAAACATGAAAAGCTTGATGTGTAATAATGCATAATACAAATGGCATCCACTGTAAAGTGTGATCTGTTTGCAAGGTCAGTGCTTCTGCCAATTCATTGCGGCAACATGGCTTGTACCATCTTAACAGGGTTCACTGATATATCAAAAGCAAAAGAAAACAGTGTTTCATAGGTCCTTGAGGTCGGATTTGGTTTTGGAGATATTGAGCCATGATTATTGGATATTTCAGGACTGCAAGTGGAACTTTTCAGGATGGGGATTTGCTCTTAAATCAGAAGGGGTTGAGGCTGATCTCTGAAGGCAAAGAAACCCAGCAAGTAAGTTTCTCTTATTCCCTCTGGTTTTCTTTTTCATTTTTTCTATTATTTGTTTTTTGCAATTTTAGAGACACCAAGCTCCCTTCTATTGCACTTTGCAACTGTTGAACCTTTAGAATGAGATATCAAATGGTCCCGAATTAAATGCCTGGAATTTGTCATTCTGTTTTCATGCAAATGAAAAGTTTCTTCCTTACCTGAATAATTATGGCGATTCCTTACTCTACTTAGTTTTACTGCTTGTTAAGATTGAAGGGCATGTCTCAGCTGATTTTGTTAAGGGTGCGGTTTGTATAGAGCCTAGGCTCTAAACAATCAAATTAGAGCCTACCTACAAATAGTGTCGAGAAATATAATTTCAACATTGGAAATCTTTGTGATAGCCTTAAAATATATTTTTATCTTTATTTATAAATTTAAAGTTTAAAAATGTGTAGATCGACATATCTATGAGAACTTGAAAATATTGAAAATTGACCGTCCAAAAATGCATTGCGCAATACACTATTTCGAAAACTTGAAATTCATTTTTTCTCATGTCCATGTATTTTGATGTTGAGATGATCAATTTGAGGATATTTGGGCATCAAAACAATCGCTTCTAGTGAAATTTTTGAGGTAGGCTCTAATTTGATTGTTTAGAGCCTCGGCTCTATATAAACTTTTCCCTTTTGTTAAAAGTTGCCTGTGTCCATATTGTCATTTTGTTTAGAGAAACATGTTCTATTTGAACTGGCCGGTTCACCTGTTTGATTCTCTTTATATCAGTTCAACAACTCTTTTTCTTGAAAATGTGAAATTGTTATATTCATGAATACCACACGCGGTTCAATATGGTTGGTTATGTGCCCACTTTTTTCCTTGTGGCTCGGTGGGTGATTCCTCTGTGTATACATAAGTTGGCAAATTTCCTATTATACTAAACTTATGGATATTGTAATGGCATAGTATTTATAATTTAGAAGTATTGAACAAATACATGAAGCTAGCTGGTGCAGTGTGTAAGCTTCATGCTTTATGATGGAAGTAAAGATCTCGTTTCATAACAATGTCATCATTATGAGGTTGAAACCCAACCATTGTGGAGCAGATAGGGTGGCTGGAAAATTAGCATTCGGGAAGGGGGTGGGGAAGAACAGTGATGTGGTGTAACTGGACTGGACCCCTCTCCTTTTCCACTTCAGGGTGCTAGACATAGACTAGGATAGGTATGACTTGATCACAACCAGGTTATACCCCTGAATCCGGTTTGACTGATCTCCAAGACACAAAAGGGGGTTGGATGTGGGTAAAGTTCAAACTTATGTCATGAAAATGGAGCAGGGTACCCAAACTTATGTCATGAAGATGGAGCAGGGTATGGTCTTTCTAAGCCAAAAGAAGTTAAACCATTCTGTGTGGTCTAGTGCTACATTTAGTACCACTGGTTTAAGAGGCTTAAATTCAATGGAAATTTATCAGGACACACTTCAATTATCAGCTCTTCTGACTCATGATTACGTGTCCTTTGATGGGCTTGTTGAAATTAAATCACAAGAAATAGATAAGATGTTAAATTCTATTGGGTGTCTTTTGATAGATTTCCCTTATTTAAATTGGAAATCATTCATTGATAACTTACTGTATAGAAATGTGTCAATCTCTTAGGGCATGTCTTGTATTTCCCAAAAAGCTGAAACTGTTGATATTTGGGAGTTCTGGAACACTTGTGTTATAACTTGTTTGGAGGTTCTTGAATATAAAGATTAGGCTTTCACAAGGATCTAACAATCTAACAAAGCTTCTTAGGGATCAGGTTTCACGGCATCACACACACAAATACAGAGAGAGAGAGAGAGAGAGAGAGAGAGAGAGAGAGAGAGAGAGAGAGAGAGAGAGAGAGAGCAATGGCAAGGACAGAGAGAAGAGAGGAATGGTGATGGCAAGGAAGGAGACGAGAGGGCGGCTAGGATTGCAAGGAGAGAAGAGAGCTTGAGGAGACAGAGAAAAGGAGCATGAGAAGAGAGACAATGTCAATATTCAGGAAGGAGAGAGAGCAGAGAGAGGAATGGTGAGGAGAGAGAGAGTAGAGAGGGGAATGGTGTGGAGAGGGAGAGTATAGAGAGGAATGGTGAGGGAGAGTGATGAGAGAATGGCTAGGATTGGGGGGAGAGAGTGGAATAGGGCATAAGAAAATAAAAGTGAGCGAACTTCCTAAAATGGGGAAAAGCGAATTTCCTTTTTTTTGGGTTGTTTTTTGGGGGGGGGAGGGGGGGTTGGAAGTTGCAAGTTCTCATTTTTGAGAACTCATATCTTCCTAAAGCCAATTTGAGAAACACTTGAGCCTATTCTCTGGATTCACTAACCCAATTTGCTTTGAGAATCAGTTGAACCTAAGTCACCATGTGACACATCCATATGGTAATGAATATCAAATTTTCTTATGTTACATGACTCACATTATTATGTTTCTGGCATTTCATAAATTGGGTTGGTGATTTCTTAGAAAATTTTCTTTATTTCATATTTGAAATTTGAAGTGTCATTGCCAAAGCTTATGCAATGATTAAACTTCTTTCAATGGTTTGAGAATGTATTAACATTAGAATTAGATCCAATGTTATTAGGTTGGACCAGCTATCGAACTGGTGAGGGGTCTAGTCCATTCAAAATTGATCCAACCACTGATCATAGCAATTTGGATCCGATTTAAAATAAGAACAGAGAAATAAATAAAAAAAGCCAAAAAGTATAATATAAAAGATAATGCTGCAGATCATCCAACCTGTCTGAGCTGGCTGTACCAATGAGCCAAAATGAGTCAAACATCATCTTTTTAACTTTTTTTGTCTGGTTTTTTATGATTCCCCGTTTAGATCTTGGAGACTGCACTGGCTAAGGGACTAGTCTGCAGGTGTTGCCTGGTCTTAATATCAATGATTAGAACCAAGCATGCAATTTGCATTAGATAGTGTTAAATGGTTGCTTGTGTCTCTCGTTGCCCTTGTGTTTCTTGCTGATAGTTGGCGAGTCTCCATCAGTTCTCTAGTCTTTTATCATTATTATTATTTTCTGGCTTTTACATCTAAGAGGAGTACATGTCAATTTACTAGACTATAATCATACCTATGATCATTGAAGCACACATGCAATATGTTTTCCTATATTGGTCATTTGGTTCAAAAAAAGAAAATATTGATACTTTTTCTTCAAATATTGGGTCGTGGGATGGTGCTACTACATATATTGAAAGTTCAGCTTTTTGTGTGAACAAATTACTCTCCATTGTTTGTACTAACTATTAACATTATCTATTATACATTTGTGCTCTCTCGGCTCTACTCGATGGGTCTTATGGGTTTGTTTCACAGTAACAGATGTGCACACATACATACATGCACATTATGTATGTATGTGCTGTAAGTTTGAAGTGTTCCTGAACAACAACCTGTAGCACCTCACCACAGCTGCATGCTACGCTGCAATATGCTACTACAATACTACCCCTAAAAGTTTTGAAGAAAATAAGAAAGTGAAACATGAAAAGAAAAGCCTCAAGCTACTATCCTTAAAACCAACATTGAAAATAAGAAGAGTGTGAACTAATAGTAACAGGGTGTTCCCCATTACTTTTTGTTCAACTTCAGCTAGTAGTAATAAGGTATCCCTAATATTATTCTCTTGTACAACTTTTGGTATTCCTGCAATTCAAATATGATCATGACATCACTATAAATCTTTGACTAACAACAGGCAGGACGCAACAAACCTGGCTGCCTAGTTAAAACAAGAGTTGTTCCTAAATAGCTTTTTTCTTCCTTCAATGTAATGCTCCTAAGGTATTGCACAGGGGACGCAAAATTGGGGGAAATTGCTTCCCTCATATATTTCAGTGTTAGGTATAGAAGACATGAATAGTGTTTATAAAGTTGCAATAAGAACTTCAAGAGTATTTGCATGTATTTGACCAGCATGATTTATCACTTTGTTCTTTAAACTAAAATTTGGTTAATATATTGTTAAGCTTGTCTATTTATCATTTTTCACTCTTTGGTATGGTACATCGTTCTGAGTCTTTTATCACTATGTCACTTAACTTTCTCTCGTAATATCTTACATTTGCAGACTTCTGAAGGTCAAGAGATTGATTTCCAGTTCAATTTGGAGGACCTAGAGACTATAAAAGTTATCGGGAAGGGAAGTGGAGGTGTTGTTCAACTTGTTCGCCATAAATGGGAAGGAAAATTTTTTGCCTTAAAGGTCATTATTCAACAGGCAATACTTACCATTAATTTGGGTGTGAGACATGTTTTAGTTATTTCGTGTTTCAACTTTCAACAAAATGCAATGTTTTGAAAATGGAATGAAACTGGTATTTTTAAGTTTGTCCCACTCACAAAGCATCACTTTTTCTGTGTCCATCAAGACCTTAATGGGTTCCAGAGCTGTCATCCAAAAGAGCCACTCATCAAAAAACTGGCCATCACCTAAAATGCTGCTACCAAAGCTGGTTTTCTGATGGCATCCAGACTGATGGCATCCAGACAAGACCTTAATTTTTGGAAAATTTTAGTGCTAATAAAGTTATAATAAAAAAATTGAATAGGTGAAATTTTGAGATTTATAAATCTTTGGTAATATATTTTGGTTTAATTTATTATGCTGATCAATATTTTTTGAGTAAAGTACTGTTGAAGGTCATATGTTGTCATTCATGCCTCTTGGAGTGTATCATGTTGGTTTTGCTGTTGTATTATTGTCCCCAAAGTGATTCATAAATGGTATAATCCTTACTTGAATGATGATTGCATAGCCTAAGAATATGTGTGGTATCTTGTGTTTGATTTTGGGTTATGCATGAGTCTGGTGCCATATGATATCTTGTGTGTCTCCTAACTCTAGTCTAGAGTCTTTCTGTAGAAATTTGAAAGTATGGTTTGTTTGTTCACCAAGTTCTAGTAACTAATGTCTAAGACATATGGGAAGGTGAGTGACATTTTCATGCATAAGTTTTGAGGTGAGTTTTCTGACAACTTAATTCTGCGGGTGGCACTCAAGGGCTTTGGTATTTCTATCGAGATTGTACTAACATTGGTAATTTTTCCTCAGACTTGAGAAAAACATGGTTCATTACTTCATTTCTAACTAAAGAGTTGAGCCATTTGCTACACTCTCAAATTATAGAACAGTGATCTTTCTCTACTGCAGTAGAGGGTGTGCCTTTATTTATATACCAGAATAACACATAAAAAGGTCATATAGCCGCATTGCTCATTTGGCTTCTTTGCACAGTAATATAAGATGTAGCAGTAAAAGACATGAAACTAAGCTGGCATATTCTTTTAATATATATAATATTGTTATCACATAACATTTGAAGAATTTTATTTCATTACTCAGTCCTTGTCAAAGCTGTTGGAAGGAAATACTCTAAAATTTCTTTAGATTTTATATGCCTTTGAGTTTTTTCTCTCTCTCTCTCTCATCATTTTGCAATGCTATGATTTGGATCTAAGCTTATTCACCCATTGGGAAGCCTCATTAATGTTATATTATATCCAATTTGATTCTTGTTTGCATCAATAGATATTCCAATGTCATCATCAACTTGTGTCTTTACATGGCTTATAGTGATTCAGAATATGCTAATCTACAGCAGTGCTAATAATGCATCTTCCCGCATTTGATACTTTTTTAAGCTGTGCCATAATTATTTCTGACTCAGAAAAATTTGTTCAGGACTTTTTGGAAGATGCTAACGGGTGAATTTTACAGGCAATCCAGATGAATATCCAAGAGACTGTTCGTAAACAGATAGTACAAGAGTTGAAGATAAATCAAGCATCACAATGTCCACATATAGTTGTTTGTTATCACTCATTTTATCATAATGGGGTGATTTCTCTCGTTTTGGAGTACATGGATCGTGGATCTCTTGCTGACATTATCAAGCAAGTGAAAACAATACTTGAACCTTACCTTGCTGTTGTTTGCAAACAGGTTAGTATGTGGATCTCTTTCATTGAGCTAGAAGCATTGGTTCTTGAAAATGTACATACCCATCCTTTGTGTTTCTAAACGACCTTTTGCTTGTATGTCAGGTCTTAAAGGGCCTAGTATATCTGCACAATGAAAGGCATGTAATTCATAGGGATATCAAACCATCAAACTTGTTAGTAAATCAGAAAGGTGAAGTTAAGATCACAGATTTCGGTGTGAGTGCTGTACTTGCTAGCTCCATGGGTCAAAGAGATACATTTGTTGGCACTTACAATTACATGGCGGTATGCGGTCACCAGTTATTAAATTTATTGTTCTATGATATAAACGAACTTACTTTTTGCAAGAGCTTTGTGGCTGTCCTTGGTATTGAATGGTTTATTGTCTAAATTCCAAAACAAAAGAAAATGATTTTTTTTCTTGCCCTGGAGTTTCTTACATTTTTCTTTCATTTTGATTTGCAGTCATGGATTATTAAAAAATAACTCTTTATTAAATGACGAAATATCTTTTGCAGCCAGAGCGAATTAGTGGAAGCACGTACAACTACAGTAGTGATATATGGAGCTTGGGTTTGGTTGCACTTGAGTGTGCCATTGGCCATTTCCCTTATGCACCTGCTGAACAAGAAGAGGGAGGCTGGTTGGGTTTCTATGAGCTTTTAGAGACTATTGTGGACCAACCACCACCTTCTGCTCCTCCAGATCAGTTCTCACCTGAGTTCTGTTCATTCATTTCTGCGTGGTATGTGTAAAAAGAGAGATATTGCTGCTTGGCATGTTGTTAATTTTCTAATTCTATTTTTTGACTTGTTGAATCGCATGTGCCTCTGCTATTGTGGTCCTTGAGGTTCCATATCTTATTTGGCTCTTGTCCTATTTAGTTAAGTTCATATAATGCCTGCTTGCTTCAATTGTGTAGTTATAAGCTATAACAAGAATTTCATGTCTCTGAAACTCTCTTCTCCCTGCAATTTGCTCTGCTCACTACAATTGATTTTGAGCTATTGTTAAATAAAATGGTGGCAGCATTTATCTTCAATGTTTATTTCGTAAATCTGTGCAATAAGATAGTAGACGATCCATCATCCAGTACATTGATTCTTTATGCATTGTTATGTCATTCCTTACACATCTTTATGATTAAAACTTTTAATTAATGGGACTAATTTGACAGGTTTCCTTGCTGCACGAGAAAATATTTGATCATTCATTTTTGTTCCTTGTTTTGACGCATATATATGTTAATTGAAAGAAAGAACTGATTCTTATTTACAAAAAATGAGGAAATAAATAAATACAAAATGACTAAAATACTTTCAAATAATTTTATGTAGGATATAAAACAGAGAAATATGTTGGGAGTATATGTGTTGACTGATCCTAGGTTGGACGGTTTATGACCTTGATTATGTCTAAAACTCTTACCCCTAGGCATGTGACACTGCTGAGAAGGGTTTACGGTAGGGTATCCATTGTTGAGGTAGGAAAGAGGCCTAGAGATGATGTTTGTAGGTCAGGAGAACTGTGTGGTCTCTTGTGTGCGGTTGTAGGCATTTGAGAGCAAAGGCCAAAACCTAAACAAACTTCTGCAGGAGATGTACACATGAAAACCACATTATTAGGAAGCAATCCTTTAGAGGGACACGTGTACATGTGCATAAAGGAAGCTCCCTTTACACAGTGATGACAAGTGAATGACTTGCTCTTACAGGGGGGGGTGGGGGGGGAGGAATTGAAATCCACATTCTATGATCATGGTTCTACTGTTTATTGACCAACTTTGGCAAGCTAATCATGAGCCTCTGTATTGAGATTGTGGGTCATGGGTGTTTGTTGGGTTGGATGAGAAAAAGTAGTCGATCATAGTTCTTGGGTCAAGTGGAGTGCCCCTTATTGTCGCTAATTTTGACCAATTAATGTTAGTCTACTTCAATATTTTACTTTTAGTATTAAAAACGTTTTTGTTTTTTTTACAAATTTTTCAGAATTTTAAAAATTTATTTATGCGATAAATTCATTAAAAATGGTAGTTTTGAAGTTTTCATAACTAGGAAGGGCACATGTGGGGACCTAGGATCTAGCCCCCACATGTTTGTGCTACCCAGGAGTGGGATGTGTGGTCTTGTGGGGCCTACATGATGTATCTAGGGTGGCATGCCTTACTTATTTTATTTTTCACTTTTAGTTAGTTGGGAAATCTTTTAAAATTAAAAAGATTTGATTTCCTATTCAAGTGAGAGTTTTAAAATAAAAGATTATCTTTAACTTCCTATAGATTTTGGAAGATTATCTATACCATTGTAAGTCTTTTGGGGTTTGGAGAGGTATCTTTAGTTGTGCATTCTAAGTTTTGAGCAACAAGCTTCGAATTTAGAGTGGGTGATGGTTGCAGAATTTAGTTTTTGGGCAACATATCATATGGGCTCTCGTTTATGGATGGATCCAGTTTTCATGACTTGCCATGCGGGATGAGTGGGAAGTGGTGAGGCAGTGCTGTGTTGACAGTTTTGGAGATCGTAGAGGTGGACTGTTTGATAGGTTCTGTATGCTACTTGGCATTTTAGATGAAACTTTCATATAATCTTCTATGGTGAATAATTTGGTCTAGGAAATGTAGTGCAATGGACTTTTTCTAGTGAAATCTTTTCTAAGGCCCTTGGTTTCATTCTTTGGTGAGCCTTTGATCAATGCTATAGTATTTATGGAATGTACTTTCTCCTCTAATACCCGTGTTTTGAATGGTTGATAACTCTAGATAAGGCTCTCAAAAGTAGACATCTTCAGCATCGAGGAGTACAATTTCACAATATTTGCTTGATTTGATTGGTGGCTGAAGAGGTTGTTTACCTTTAGCTAGGAGCATGTGGGCATAAGCTCCAGATGTAACCCTTCCATTGAAAGAGTTATGCTCAGCTACAAATTTTTGGTGTACTAGGAAAGAGAGGAATATGAGGATATTCAGTCTCTTTATGCTTCAGTTCCATCTCTGTCTATGATGGGGGCGAGAGAGGATGCGATCTCGTGGGTCCTGGATCTTAGGGATTTTCATGTAGCTGTCCCTAATGTATTTCATGTATTGATATATCTCTATTGTCGTGCACTGCCGTAGCTGCAACTTGACGTATACTTCAATGACATGGTAATTTTTAGTGTATGAGTTTGCATGAAAGGATTAATTACCATGGCTAAAAAGGAAGTAAAATGTATCATTAAAATTCCTGTCTGAAAGTGCTTTTACTGAACTCACTATATTATTGGTTACAGCATACAGAAGGATCCAAACGATAGGATGTCAACTCTCGATCTTTTGGTTAGCATATGACTTGTTATTGTTTCTTTCCTTGTATTTATGTATACTGGCTTAAAGTTTTTGAGCTTATAAAATGGTTTTCTTAATGCCTTCCTTGTCATCTACCAGGCTCACCCCTTCATCAAGAAATTTGAGAATCAAGACATTGATCTAGCAATTCTTTTCAGCAGCTTGGAACCTCCTGTAAATTTTTCCAGGTGAGAGAGAGAGAGAGAGAGAGAGATAGAGAGAGAGAGAGAGAGAGAGATTTGTGGCACTGAATGTAGATGACTGATAAAATTGTTGTTTCAGTAAAGAGATAGTTACGGGCAGAAGATAGTGTCCCATAACATTCAAATGAATGACAAATTGTCATCTTAAAGCTCTTTAAATGGTGAATCTTGCAAATATAGAATTGGACTCCATAAACGACCTCCCATGTATCTGGCATTGTATCAATGATGCAAATCTATATCTACAAACTATCTTTATGCATGCGAATTGAGGTATCAAGCGAACGAATTGTGCCGTAACATTCATTGAGGTAGGAGCACAACATGCATCAGGTGCGCATATGCATTCCTGCTTGCATTCTTTAACACTCGGTATGTTATGCATATTTATGAGAAAGATGCATGCACTCGCTGTTGTTTACATCAAGCATTGGCACTCATATGTGCTTGTTGGTGTCAGCACGACGTGCTCATGTCTGCATTAGTTTATGTTTGCATATGCATGTTGCTTTCTTGTATGGGTAAGAGCCTACTAATTCTTCCATGTTGTCAAAATATGTAGATGCATCAGTTTAGGTGAGGGGGGCCAAGAGTTCAAACTCTTAAAATTTGTCCCAAAAAGATAGTTGCCTTTGTATTTTCCAGGGTCAAGTGGGCGTTATGCGTCAGATTTGTGATGCGTGGTGGAGGGATTGGATGGCGTGCATATGTCGTTAGAGTTGTTAACGTGCCGGGCCCACCCCAGCCTGAAATAATGTGAAGAAAGGCCAGCCTGGCCCAAAAGTTGAATCAGGTATGGCCTGGGTTGGTCCCAAATCTTGCCTATGAGGCCCCAGCCTGAAAAAACCAGGCCAGGCCCGGGCCATGCCTTCTATAAATTGTTGGAAAATTTTCATTTTTAAAGCTTATGGAATTTTTGGGCCTGCCCATTGGGTTAGGGCTGGGGCCCGGCCCAAAAATAAGCCAGTCCCACCCAAGCCGGCCCAAATTGGGCCCTACTTGAACCCAGCCTGAATTGGGCCCACCCCGTTAACACCACTATGTGCCATGCATTTGTGCTAGATTGCCTCTATGACTACACGAATGGATGTGTATTCCTTGTGTTTTCATGAGTTACTCCACATACTCGAGGGAGGAGGAAAGCTGGTGTCTTCCATATGTTCGCATGAAGTCTCCACGAGAGAGTGAGTGTATGTTTTGGAAAAGCAATAGCTACGGTTTGTATAGTTAGGCTCTAAACAATCAAAATTAAAGCCTACCTTCAACTAGTGTCGATAAATGTGATTTCAATATTGAAATTTTTTGTGATGGCCTTAAAATATATTTTCATATTTATTTATAAAATTTAAAGCTTCCAAAATAGTGTAGATCGACAGCTATGAAAATTTGAAAATCTTGAAAATTGACGGTCCAAAAATGCGTTGTAAAATAAACTATTTTCAAAACTTGAAATCCATTTTTTTTCTCATGTCCATGCATTTTGATGTCAAGATGATCAATTTTGCAGATTTTTGAGGTAGGTTCCAATTTGATGGTTTAGAGCCTTGCCTCTATATAAACTTTTCCCTTCAAAATAACATCGCATTTTTTGCAAAAAAGTGTGTAATGTTATACAAGAACTGTAGTTGCCACAAAACAAGAATGTTATTAAGGAAAATATCAATTAAGGGGTCAAAATCTTTTATGAAATTACTAAAGGGCTCAAAGTTTGTAATTAAGATTAGAGGGTTCATTTTCTAATCATTTTAATTTTCGTTTCATTTAGGTATCTCTTTGAAAAATATCTTACCCAAATTGTTTATGTTTAGGCTTGGGAGTCTTATACAAACATAAGCATTTTAGTAATTTTGAAAGTGAAAGTGTTTTGATGCATCTGTCCTTGAAACAAATTCAATTTCCAAGAGCAAATTGTAAACTATGGGCGAAAGGCGAGGGCAAACATAATTTAGGCATTCAATCACATTGAGAGTTAGTTTTGTGTCGATGTTTTAAAAAAGGATCAGTGGGGCGGATTGTTCACCCATTGAACCACCCCAACTGGATCAGCTAGATTGCCGATCCAATGAAATTCAGAAAATAAAAAGAGAGAATAGTAAAAAATACGTTATATAGCATATTGTGAGGAATCTATCTTACCTCGAATGAAATAATTATTTTTTGAAGGTTTACAAAACAACAAAAGGGGGTCGAGAGAAGGTTCGAATCTCGAACCTTGAGTTAAAGGACTGTTAGCCATAACTAATTTATACTATATACTTCCTTTTTTTTTTTTTATACAAAAAGTACTATTTTTATTGATAACTACAAAAAGTATTTATAGTATATACTTCTTATGTGATGAACAGCTGGTTCTGACTAAGAACCAGTATGGTCCGAACCAATTTCTGATCTGAATCGATGATTTTTTAATAAAAAAGAAACACTCGTTCAATAGTCAATACCAACCAGTTTGGTGGGTATACTTCTTCTAGTCAGCTAACTCACCGGAAAGAAAAAATGCAAAAAGTGACCATAATGTGTGCAACATGGAACCATTGTACGACAAGTAACTTCAATGGTCTGTTGTGAGCAATCGACCGTTAAGATGAACCGTTCCTAAGCTCAGGTCCATCGGGGCCTCTTTGAGCTGAGGACTAGTTCATCTCAATCACCAATAAAACAAAAAAAGAAAAAAGAAAAGAAAAAGAAAAGAACAGAAAAAGTTCATCTCAATCATCAACAAGTTGAGAAAAAATAATTAACATTCTGCGCACTAAAATTCTTTTCTCTTTTGGAAGGTCAACTTGGTTATTGAACTTGGGATTGAACATACTATTTGTTCCTAAATTAATATTAAATTTGTTCAAAGTAGTTCAATGATGTGACTCACGTTTGAGATGTATTGTTGCTAACATTTAACTGCTTACCACTCAAGCCCATGCCCATGCCCATGCCCAATTCTTAATTTTTGTTTTTATTTTTTAAATGCTAATGTGGAGTGACCATATGAATATCAAGCAGATCCTGGCTATGTGCATGAAGGTGGAGTTGCACAACCAGCAACCCCAACGACATAATAAAATTTGGTCCAAAGAGTGGATGGAGGGAGAGAGGAAAATGAGGGATGAAATGACAAGGTGGTCCAGATGTTCACTAAAAACAATAACATCCCTCTGAAAGAATCACGACATGGCCCACCTTAGCCTATAGGTGGGGCTAGGCCCGGCTCCATCTTAGGCGTTAATCTAATAAGCCAAATACTAAACTAGACCCTAATTTTAGGCGTTAATCTAATAAGCCAGCCAAATACTAGAGTCATTGAAACGACCCTAAAATAAAATACCTAGCTTTTAGTTAGAGGAAGAATACCATCTTAAGAATTAACCTAAAAACAAAGTATCTAGCTTCAGCTAGAAAAAGAATCCCATCTTAAGAATTAACCCAAGTCAAAGTGGAAAACAGCCGCAAAAAGTCAATTGAAAACGTTGACAAAAGACTAAAGCGGAAGGATAGGGTTCAAGGTGAGAGGAGGTAAGATGGAAGGGGTGCCAAGAAGGGAGGAAAGCGGAGGGAAAAGTACCTTTAGTTTAGCAATGTGTCGGATCAGAGTGACACACAACTGTGGGTTCTCATATGAATAGCAAGCACGTCCTGGCCGCGGTGGAGGTGCACAACCAGCAAACCCAACACACATCAAAATTCAGTCCAAGGAGTGGATGGGAGAGTCACAACAAAAAGAGGGAGATAGATACGTGAAAGGACAATGTGGCCCAAACGTTTCACCAAAACCTTTCTTCGCCCTGCCCCTTCTTTCTCTCTCTCCAATATGCGGTATAAAGCATCCATCTTAAAGATATATACAAATAGATGGTCCATCTAAAAATAAGTATAACTACTGTCCAATTTTTTTTTAATATAATTATTATTTGTAGTTTTAAAAAAAATATTCATTTTCATGATCTCCATGTTAAAGATTATATATTCTCTAAAAACTAGGATCAAATTATATTTAAAAAATATATTTATTGCCAACCCGCATTTCTACAATATACGGTCTGGCCATATAGAAACTGCATCTTTAAGTAGAATCCATAATAAATGGTTATTCTGATGTTTGAAAATCCTCCGATTAATCATCTTGATCGTCATAAGTATGGCTACAAAAAAGATTTCAAAATCTTGGAAATGGTCCTAAGGCGTATACTTTAATTTTCTATGCCCCCACAAAAAAAAAGAAAAAAAGAAAAAAAGAGAAGGGAGGGGAAAGTTCTTTCTTGAAGCCTAAGGGTGAGCACATGGTCTACTCCATGTCATGCCATGTGGTATCACAACAGTAAATGAGGCTGAATCAAGAGTTTTATCAAAGGGCCTTAAATTGCTCATCGATATGGATGACCATAAGGTTATTGAAGCTGACTATTCAAGTGTTATTTCACGAGCAATAAGAGAAGTGAAACACAGTGGGGATTAGGAGGTTTTCTTTGATGAGATTTATTCTCTCTTATTTATTTCTTCTTTTGAATTGTCGCAGATAAGTAACCTCTGAGACTGATGCGCTTGTCAAAGGGAGAGTTCACAAATCATCGTTGGTGATTTAATCTCTCGTATAATGTCCCAGTGTACTTATCTTTGAGGCAATGAAATTCTGGTTAATATTTAAAAAAGAGAGAAAGAAAGAGACCCTCGCTCTATTTTTTTTTTTTCCATGGAAAGAGGACCACGCTCATCCCTAATAGAACATAAGAACATGGGAAAATACCCACATTTAAGGGTACCTTATCTCCTTTCATGTGTGCCTTTGAGATAAGGGCGTGTATATGGTGGTCTATGGGACCACATTGTATATTTTGTGCCACGGACAAAACACCTAGTTAGGATATTTTTATGAAGGGTGTGGTTTGTATAAGGTCGAGGCTCTAAAGAGTAAGCAATCACAGTAACGCACACATTCAAATAATGTCGAAAAATGTGGTTTCAATACTAGAAATATTTGTGATAAGCCTTAAAATATATTTCCATATCGAATTATAAAATTTAAAGTGTAAAAAATATTATAGATCAATGAGATATATAAAAACTTGAAAATCTTGAAAATTGACGGTCCAAAATACATTACAAGATACATTATATCCAAAGCTTGAAATTCATTTTTTTTCTCATGACCATGCATCTTGAGGTTG